GCCTTACAATGAATGGCTTGAAGGAGCACGAACACGAGACAACGAAGACACTGGGTCCGAGGACGTTAAGTCCATGATGCAAGAGCTCAACTCGCAAGACTTTCTGCCAAACGTATTTGGGATGCCCATACCGGAAGATGGCACGCTGGATGCCTTGAATTCGACCAGCACTGGTCCATCCAATTCAGACACCAGTACCAGAATCAGATCTTGGGTCAAGACCGCCCAATACTCAAATGACGCCTCAGAATATATTGGGCCAGATGGGGATAGTAGTATTGGAGATGACGAAAGGAGTCAATCAGATGATTCTGATATAAGTATTACTTCTTCGAGGTCATTCATGTTCCCCAGCGAACGCGAAGCGAAAACGGCCGTTCCCAGCTCAGCCGTTTACCGCGCAGCTAGGGAGGGCAATGAGAAGGCTCTTGTCAACCTGATTTCCATCGGCGTTGACGTTGACGATTATACGTCCTGTTTTGGGAACGCGCTACATGCGGCATGTTCGCACGGTCATATTCGGAGCGCCGAGTTGCTGCTGAACGCAGGGGCCAGTATCAGCAAAGAAGGACGATTCGGTTCCCCATTAGACGTGGCTTCCCAGTTCGGTCATATCGACATTGTCAAGATGTTACTCATGGCCTTATCAGGACAGAACCCGAACGACAGACACGGTACACTAGCACGCGTATCCACCGGCCCTGCACTTATTCGTGCATCTAAGGGTGGACACGAAGCAATAGTTCAGTTGCTCCTAGACAGAGGCGCCAATGACGACGCTGCGCGGGATCAAGCCCTGCGTTCAGTCTGTGCTTCCATGTCAGGACGTCTGAACATCGTCAACGTGCTTCTCAATAGCCATGCCAACGCAAATGCTCATGGAGTGGGAGGGACTGCTTTAGACGAAGCATGTCGCAGTGGCAACCTCGAAATTGCACAACGACTCCTGGAACAGGGCGCCGTCATTGGTCTCCTTCCACGACGATTGAGACCTGAAATGATCTCGTTACTGGAGAACGCTGGGATAGACATTGACAGCCAAGAAAAAGAGCCAAGCTCAGGTGTACCAAGCTCAACTATGCCGCGCGGAAAATTCTGGCAGAGAATCGAGACTCGCAACAAGCGAGCGCAGAACTACAGCAAGAGGGAAATGAGAAGGAACTTGCAGTTCGATAAGACGTGGGCCCCGGTGCCGAAACGAATTCTCCGGTCGTGTGGTCCCGGCTGTTTAATATGTGACGAGGACCGAGCAAAGGCGCGCAAAGTCAGACGATCCCAGATGATTCTCACTGATCCGGTTTCTTACACATTGAAACGGAGTAGAAGAGAAATTGACCCCGCGATCAAGGACGCTGTTTCTCGCATGTTCGCTCAGATGGGAATAAACGAGTCCGCGAACAGTCAAACGAGGATTGATGGTTCGTGAAGCTTTGTGCATATTACGGCGATACATGCAATGGCACTTTGAGGGCCTCGACTTTCATCCTCCGTTCCCCTGTTCCTTAGCCAGAAGGAGCCCCAAATCGTCTTCAGACAGGCGCGTCCGGCTGTTATTTGGCTGCGTTGGGTTCTGCGTTTTCGCATGTTTAAGTTAGGGTTATTTTGCAATTTTCATGAGAGCATCGATAAACTCAGGAATTGCATGTATATTGAGGCCACTAATTTACATACCTATTTGTAAAGCCGGCCTTGGCTTTCAGGTTACAATTATTTAAAGGACGATCTTCTCAAAAGAAGAATGCGATCAGTTCTGTTTCAATATCATTTGAAAGCGTGCAGACTCTCCGCAGGAAAAACAAATAAGATACACGAAGCATTACGGGACTGTGTACTTTGAAAGTACCTATATTGTGATATGTCACATCCCGGTTTCTCTGGCACTCGGAGGTCCTCATTCAAGCCCCCTAATCATAACACTCCCAGCCTGACCAGGCTCTGGAGTGATTCGATTAAGTACTACCACTCATAAATACCTTCCAAGATCTTATTCTCCGTCCGAATCTGGTGCAGTGAAACAGGTCGAATAACGGAGCTTGACAGCTTCAAATGATGGATCGCGTCACCGTGACACCTGACATCACCAACATTCAGAAGCTCCTTGACAACAACGCAGTCATTCCAGTGATGTTCTCCCTGGTTCTCAATACCGACTGCCTTCCAAGCTTGGATGACGGACGGCTGCAAGGCATAATCCCACGTCGCTCTCCATGTAATCACGGGACGCTGCCCATGACCCATTGATTTGTATTGGAAGAGCGCGGCCAATCCCTCTCGCCCGTTCCAAATCTCCATCACGCGGAGCTTTGGCATTCTCAGAGCCACCTTTGCCGCTGTTCGGAGCATAGCACCGATTTGAGTGGCCATCGCATCGGGCGCGAGTAGTCGTGAGGTCAGCGCAAGTGAAGTCAGGTTGGACCACTTCCATGAAGGCTCACAGCTGCTGAAAAAGTGACTAGCATCCACCATGAACGATGCCGAGAGGTGCTCAAGCTGGAGACTGACATGGGCGATCGCCTTGCCCATCTTAGGGGTCGGCATTTGAATGGGCTGAACCCCCAGCTGAGGACCGAGAAGGTCTGGGTATTTTTGAGTGAAGTTTTCAAAAATGACAAGTCTCCGTAAGTTTTTGAACTCTTCGGGAACGATGTATTCAAACCCAATTCGATGTACTACATGAAATCTGAGTCAGTTGCTTATTCCCCGTTCAGTTCAACAATAAGCATGGGGAAAGTGAGGAAAGGCGACGCATTTGCACTTACTTCTATCTGCCTCTTCCTGATCAAATTTCCATTTTCTTCTCCAAGGCTCGCAGTGAATTTCCTGAAGTCCAGGAAGGCGGAATAAGATTTTCCCTAGAATTTCCGTCAACTGCCGGCGATTCTGTTGACGCAGTATCACACCTGTTAGGGCAGTAACTGGAGGAAGGCTCTCCCACCACACTTTCTTTTGTTTGTTGGTCTCAACTGCCCTTTTCTCCATATGTCTTTTAAACCAATCTTCATTCCGTTTGTAGGTTTCGGGCGAATCCTTGTTCCTACTTGCTTTGAGCCATAGATTTCCCTTATATTCAGCCTCTTCGTGTAAGGGGCTGGCCCCTAGGCTTGTTCAACGTAGAGGTGCCGTCGATTGACTATTCTAAGCTGAAGAAGGAAGAAAGGACCTTACAAGGGTAGGCACCTAACAGTGGTGAAGCAGGCCGGGTTAGGCGGCGTACTGCGGCAGAATAGTGGGTCCAACGGAGCTGGATCTTGGTAACTGCTCCGGCGAAGCCGGAGATATCAATCCGGGCTCTAGCCCGTGACACTTCGAGTTCCATAATTTCCCCAAGCCACTACCATTGCTGCGGGTATTCGATGTTCATTGGGCGGGAGTCATTCCCCGTCATTGATTCGGCTTCCTGGCTTTTCAGTTGATAGGCGCGGGGAATGCCGTTCCATGCTATGGCTCCGAACATATCTTCAATAAGCACTGGGCGTGGGGGAGAAACTCGATGGCCTGCGATCCAGCCGTGCTTCTCGTCGTTGAAGTTGACCTGAATAGGTTTAGGCAACCGCTTTTTCCAATCGCAATTTTCAGGTGTCATATCAGGCACAAAGGTCAGGTACTTGAACCAATGATCGGAATCGCTGGGAGAATGAATGCTGATGTCCAACACTAGGTTGTCGCTCGGTTGCCATGCGCTGAGAGCCGAGAATAGGCTAGTGAATGCTCTGCCGATCCGGACATGATCTGCTGTGCTCATAATGCACAAGTTTTTCTCTGCTCCACAACTGGTGCAATCATATTCCTCAAGCTCTATACACAACCAAATGTAGCTTACGAGAGCCCGGTTGCGAAAGGTCATCGAGTTGAAATCTGCAAGTCGTGAATGTGTGACCGTGATGCGGGCGAAGTTTTCGCGCTCGATAACTTCCTGCTACTCTCGAGACACCGTAGCGAAATTAGCCACGCTGCAGCCGTCCTGTAGCAAGCATTTCAGAATTGCAAGCCTGATCTCTGCGGGAAAGCGGTGCCAAGATGCCCTGTTTGATGGTGACCACGTTGGTGTCATATTTGGCAGTAGTCGAGCTTAACCCTGCGTTTGTCGAATGGTGGTTGCAGGAATGAATCGCAAGGCGGTTCAAAGTGGCCAGAGAAATTTATGAATTTCCCTTTGAGACCTTGATAGCTCAGACGTGGAGAAAGAAAACATGCGGCTTTGCTGGCTATTGGCAAACGATGTGACTCATTACTGATACAGATTTGAAGGTAAAGTATATTACATCTAGACACAAAAGGTGGACGAACATCCAAGGTTTTACGCTTCTGAAACTGCCTCAGTTGTCCTTCCTGCATGCCTGCCTCTCATACATACCGGACTGATTATGTTTTCTTCTCTATTCCATGTAGTTCAGTCTATAGCGAAATGCGTACCAAGGCTCTCTTCTTCACATTTGGCTCAGGTTGGAATTCTAGGCTGAAGCCAAAAAGTGATATCTAAATGCAGTCGAAAGTTTGAGCGCCTGATCTAACTGGTCCTGAGTTGTGGAAAGGAGGGCAGACAGGCGTAGCCACACAATCAGCCGGCCACTCACGAGGGTTAATTTCGAGAAGCCTTGGAAACTCGGACAATAGACTGCTTTCAATTGGCGTTGCGAAGACCCCAAGAAACAACCCAAGAAGAAGAAAGAAAAAAACAGAAAAACAAAAAAAAAAAAAAAAAAAAAAAAAAAAAGGAAAGAAAAAAAAAGGCGTTGAAAATCGTCCGAAAGTCACAGGCAGGGGGCCCTGCTGACCAGGGAGCTGCATCCTTGTTTACCTTTTGGGATGGCCCCACCCGAATTGGAAGGCGGTGAGGTCGCATTGGAGGTACATCGGATGTACACAGACGCGCTCCGTCCATAACACTCGGTCGAAAGCATCGTGCAGCTTCCAACACCCACTGCTCCCACAACGAAACGCCCTCAGGGCAGAATTTGGACGTCGACATGATACACTGAGTCCTGCGACGCGTAGAAACTATGGAAGAGTCCGCCCCGAAACGGCGGAGAACATCGCCGCGTCTGAGCAGAGAGCGCGACGAAGCCAACACCGAGTCGACGACACCACCCGATCCTCCCCCGCCACGAAGCTTGATCCCGAGGCCGAGACGCCCATCTTTCGCGTCGCCCACCAGGTCAAGTCTTTCGCGTACCAATCCTGACATCCTCCGACGACGAAGCCTCAGCCCGTCAAAGCCCGCCGCCGAAAATGCGACCCAATCCACGCAAGACGCCCGCGAGGGGTCCGCTGCACAGAGCCAGGAGTCTGGGCCGTCTTTGACGAGCAAGCCGGCGCGTCCCAGAACAAGCTTGTTCGAACCTGAGCCTACGCCGACAGAGTCCCCTCTTGGGTCTCCCGCACGACGATTGCCGAGCTCTTCGCGAGCAGGACTTAGCGGAGCGTTGGCGTCTAGACCGCGCCGCTCCTCGGGCAAGCCTGTACCCAGACCGCTGCCCGAGCCAGAGGTGGAGGAAGAAGAGATTAATCCATTTGCTCGGCGTGGGCTACGTCGCTCACCGCCGACTGGTGTCATTCCCCAGAGATCACAGCCTGAACCCGAGCCTGAGCCTGAGCCTGAGCTGCCGCCCACACCGACGCAGAGAGGCCAGGCTGACCCGGTGGTCACGACGCCGCCCGCCGGCATCCACGATACACCCTCAAAACGAAAGCGACGGCCCGCGTCGCCGTCCAAGAGTTCGCCCTTGAAGCAACCGCCCCTCCGCCCGCCCGAGTTCTCTCAGAAGACAAAGGATCCCTCGAAGAAGGCCCCGCCTACCGTAACGCGAGAGAAAAGCCCAAGTAAGCCGGCGAAGAAGACACGGACGAGAAAAGGACCTGCAGGAACACACGAGGCGCGACAGATACCAGCACCCGACCCGAATGCTGAGCTCGAGGCAGAACGAGACGCGCTCGAAGCGGAGATCGCCAAATTGGAGGCAGACCTGGACTTTGCTACCGAGGAAAACGAGCGGATTCGGAGAGTACAGTCGCTTAGGTCTGCGACTGGGTCTTCCGTGCCCGCTTCAAAGCGAGAGCAGCTCTTCGATCTGTTGCAAAGGCACCTCGTACCCCCTCAGAAGGACAAGAAGCCCGACGCGGCGGATGAGTGGTTTGACTTGGCGATGAATCCGACGTCTTGGTTATCCATGGCGTCTCTTGGGCAGACGCAGCCCTTCACGTCAAAGCCACAAGAAGAGGAACTTCCGGCACCAGTATCGCATCACCCAATTCAGATGACTGCCGTAGAAGAGCTGCCCTATTTGCAAGCCTTCACACCCTTCGAGTTCTCGGGCACTACGAATATTCTGCCCCGCGAGAACGAAGACGAGCCTCTGCTGCGGAAGCACAATATCGTTGTCAGATCTGCACACCCCACGGGACTGTTCATGGCAAAGGTCGAAATGACAGTCGACACCGAAAAGTTACAAATCAAGCACCTGAGCGTGCCCCGACTCGACCCCGCCGCGGTCCCTGAACTCGGCCCCTTCATCGAAAAGGTCGCCAGCGGTGGGTCCAACACGCATATGAAACGAAACGTCAGCATCGTCACCTGGGCCATGGCCGAGTGGTACCGCCTCGCCGTCGAGCGAGCCAACGTGTGGCATGTCCTGGAGAGCGAGCTGGGGGATAAGGAGAAGTTAGTCCAGAGCGTCGCCAAGATAAGGACTCGGCGTAAGATGCGCAGGAGGAAGGACGACGACGACCCGAGCCAGGATGCAGACAGCAACCTTGGCGACAAAGATCGGGCGCAAAACCTCACTCGCGGAGCGTTGCTTCCCCACCTCGGACGAACAGCCTACGAGATCCCCATCCCGGATGCGGTGGACGAGGAGACGTCGTGCTTGAGGATACAATGGAGGATAGACTTTGACTGGACTGGAGAGGCGCAGAGTAAAGTTGGATTGATGATCGGCATGCCGGGTAGATGTCTGTACCCCCTTCTCCCTCCCTCTCACATAAAGCTAACACACCGCAGGGCGTCTAGGAGATGAGCGCGGCTCATTAGCAGCAGCATCCAAAGTCTTCGAGAGGCTCGTGCAAGGAAACGAAGGCCCTATGACGGCTGTGCGTACGGTGGTTGCGCTACTGGCCGGGGACGCCTCTTCTTGAAAAGATACCATGTTGGAGTCGACTTTTGTTTTATGAGTATGAACTGTATATCACTATATCGCCGGCCTCTAGTGGATAAGCCGGCAGCACAAATACAGAGGCACCTCCTGGTGCATGTTTATGACGGGTATCTCCCTGTCCCACAACCATTTCCTAAACCCAGGGTCCTCCATAGTCGCCCCCGTTCATATCTCCATTCATCCCACCTTGGGGACTTTGCCCGTTCTGCCCAATCTGGTATTCTCTTGGAGGACGCATGTGGAAGCCCCCACCGCTCTCATGCAACGGTCTCATGCCGTACATCGCCCGCAAGCTATCCGCCCTTCCCATCGGCCCGGGCATGCTCCCCGTGGTTCCAGGCCAATGGCTCCGGTACGCCACATTGTCGTATATGCCCCGTCCAAGGCGCTCGCCGGTATGAGGCCAGCCGCCGCCGCCGCCTCCACCTCCCATACCAGCACCGTTCTCGCGGGCGAGGTCGTTGTACGTCGGGCCCGCTCCGCCGTACCGCGCATTGCCGCCGGGTGTGTACATTCCGTTGCTCATATCCGCGCCATTCATCGCCCGGGCGCGCATGCTCATATAGTCCAGTGCGCGCGGGGCGCTCCACTGTGTGCCAACATCGGGCTCGTTGGGGATCGTGGGGCCACGCCACATGCGGCTCGGGTCGTTGTCGGGCATGAAGCGGACGGGGATGCGGCCGGCGTTGTTATTTGGCCTAGGGCCATTGGGCGTGTTTCTGTTCTCGGCTGGGCCGGTTGGGTAGCCGAAGGGGTTGTTGTCGTCCGACATGGCGGCTGTTGAGGATGTAGTTGCTTGGAGTCTTTGACGTGGGATGTGAGGTGCTAGAGGAGGTCGCGAAGGAGGGACTTTATATGACATGGCGGAGGGTGTTTGCGGTGAATCGCGGGTTTTGAAGGGGACGGTGTTTGGTGATTCAGGCGAAGGTTGGACGAGGATGCGTTTGGGAATCGCTGTGGAACTTGAGTTAGGTTGTGTTAGACAAGCTTCAGTACCGGCCTCGCGGCAACGTACATGTACGGCTGATGGGCAAGCTCGCCGGCTGCGAGTTACCGGTTTTCCAAAGCTGTCGAAGCTGTCGTGTCAGCAAGTTTGTTGCAGAAACTATTGAGTGGTAGTGTTGAGCTTGGCTTCTCCATCCGGGACTTTTGGGCAAGTGTTATTCCCCAGCTTCATGTCTGCGGGAAAACGGAATGTGCTCTTGCATTTTCAGTAGAAATATAGCAACGGACAGGTATGTTTCACACGAGAAAGACAGCAGCATAATAGTCGGATCCAGCCACTACTCGAAACACCTGCCTAGATCGTCCCAAGGCATCATCGAGGGCTGTTACCCGAGCTTTAAGGGGAATCGTTGTCCCCTCATCGACCATAACAGCTCCGTTTTACAGCTATTTACTTTATGGCTCACACTTAACTTATCCAGATATATTTCTCAAGGATATTGAAGTAGGCCCAAAGGTTGATAAAGTAGCAGCAACCCGTTCATGATGATGAATCCAGCCATGAAAGCTAGTGATGACTTGTTCCTCCTACAAAGAGATGATAGACCGTCGTCTTAACATTCAGCAGACAGACAAGCACCATCATGAGAGTGTCTTTGTTACAAGTACAAGTCCAAGAACAGGAGAGCATGGCTCCTGTAAGAGCCACAGACCAAGGACATCGTCGACGCACTAAGCCCGCGCCCCTGAGAGACAACCCCCTCACTGACTCGATGGAAGACTTCACGATAGAGCCCTCCTCGACGACTAAGCAAGGCACCAAAAGGAGTTTTACCAAAAATATTCAACCGGTGTTGTTTAGAAACTTCTTTCCTCTTCGCAACACCATCGCAAGCCAGCTAGATGCCCGCCATGGCTGACCTCAACCACCCCCAGACCGGCCAGGAGGGCTACCCTAACACCTCCTTCGTCGATGACAACGAGGACTCTGACACTGAAAGCATCTCTTCGCCCCTCGATCGCCTCTCACTCGACGAGAGCAACATCGGTCCCATCGCCGCCGCCAACTCTTCTGCGCACATCCTCGACATCGCCAACGTCTCGGGCACCAACTCGGCCGCCGCCTCCTCTCCCGTCCCCAACACAATCACTGCCCCCGTCCCCCGCGAGTTGACCCTCGAGCCCCTCGTCTTCCTCGGCATGGCCCGCCCCATGCCCAGCGAAGCCGCCTCCATCCGCCAGAAGTACGGCCCCATCGCCTACGCCGACGACATCGTCAAGGCCTTCGGCCTCGCCACCGCCCGCGCCCTCGCCAAAGAGATGGCTTTCCATGTCGCGCGCCTTCACTACCACTCCGTCCGCGACTCCCACCGCGTGGTCTTCCGGCTCGCGCTCCCGGGCACCTACAACACCACCACCCGACGCGGCGGCGGCGCCCCGTACCTGAAGATGATCGACTACTACTCGCGCCGGATCTATATCGACAGCAACGACCACTTCTTCCTCAAGGGACCGGGAGACCTCTAGGAGAGACACACCAACCCCGCAGAGGATCTCTGGCGCAAGCACCAGTTCCCCGTCTTCCCGCTGCCTCACCCCGTCCACCTCCTCGGGGGCGCTTCTTCGGAGGATGAGCTGCTTGAGGCGTTCTCGGTTGACTACCACCGCAGCGCGGCTGAGATCATGGATGAAGTGCGCGAGATGAGCAGCTTCCCTCGCGTGACGTACGGCTACTACTTCGCCCTCTCGGACGATATGGTGCGCGAAATCGACGCGTTCAGATCTGAGGATGCTTCTGATGACGATGACGATGACAACTGAGTGGAGGAAAGAAGGAAGCAGACGTCCAATGAGGATAGCTTGAATAGGCAAGAACGGCAACGTGTTGGTTCCTGCCTCGACGGATCAAATACTTTGGTATCACAATGAAAATAGGGGTTCCCTAAATGCTTCCGTCTTATGAACCACGTAGATTCACAACGGGACATCAAAAGTTCATTCAGCCTCAAAACGGCTCCGTAGCTCGATTCGCTACCTAGGATTCGTAGGTGTATCTATGACCCCGCGTCATCCCTTTCATCAAATCATAAATAACCACGCTCATGCAGCGGCACAACATGCTTTCCCCCACCTGCCCCGTGACATCGTCATCATTGTCATCCGTTTAGTCTGAATCATTCCAGCGTCAGCAATTGTCCCATTCATCATATTTGTCCCTGCCGGGCGGGGGAGGAAGTACTCACTGAAGACGAAGTTGCCGTTATCGTTGCCGATGCGCTCAGACAGGTTGCAGTCGGCGTCGATGGCCTCGCCGCCGAGGTTGAAGAGGCGGGCGCGGAGGATGGGGACGTTGTCGCCGCCCTCGATGGAGAAGTGGATGTCCTCGGCGGAGTTGGAGTAGCCTGTGGTGGGACGTCTTGTTAGTGATACTTGTTCTGAGGGCAAATATGCTGGATAAAGAGGAAGTCATGGAGAGAAGGGCCCATCCGGTGAAGGGGGACAAGGACGGGGAGGGAAGGAGCGTACCGTTGCCGTTCCACTCAAAGTGGCCGTCGTTGTTGCCGAGGCAGTTGTTGAGGTCGATCTCGGTCTCGTTGAGGTCGCCGTTCTCGTTGCGGAGGGCGGCGCGGAGGATGTGGCCGTCGTCGACGCGGATGTTCTCGGCGGAAACGTGGAAAGACATTTTGTATGTGGTTTGGTTGTGGTGGTGGAAGAGGGTATCAAAGGTTTGTTTGTGGTTTGTAGCTTGTAATGAGGTTGGAGTGGGAGAGGAAAACAGGAGTGGATGTTGGGAGGAGGAATTGGGTTTATATATACGTCAGGGACCCGTAAGTGAGAGGACAGGTGAGCTACCTAGCTGCCACCGGGTCTATGGATCACGGATGAGGGGCACAGGCTTGGCCGAGAAGAGAAAGGGGCGTTCAGGGTAAGAGGGGCGAGAGGCCTCCATTCAAGGCAGAGAGGATCAAACACGTGGAGGCAGGTGGAAGGTGAGAGCTACCTCGATGGTAGGAAAGAGCGGTCTTGGAAGCTGTCTTTCGCGGGATGACATGGGATGAGAAGGGGGAAGGGGAAGAGGGTTCCCGCTTGGCGATCGCGTCACGGAGGAGGTCACGTAGCTTGAGCTTGCATCTTGGGGCGGGTTGCCTCGCCTTGGTCTTGCCCATTGACTTTCTACGTCTTTGCTGGCACAACCTTGACCCTGCCCTATAAGGAGAGGCAGGCAAGCTGTGCCGGGACAGTTGTGAGGCATTCCCTCGCGGTGATTCGGTTTGTTTCTGCCGCATGTCACTCTCTCATGCGACGGGACGTCCGTTCCCACCTGAGCTCCAGGAAAGCTGGCTACGTGGGAGCTTGGAGCCAAGAGCCGCAGCTTGGAAAAAAAAGGGCAGCTCCCCGCCATGGACAGGGGTGAGAGCTTCCTTTTGGTTGGGTAGGCTCGGGCCGGGGGGTGTTAGCTTTTAAGTGGGATGGAGGGGCAAAAGGTACGGGGCGGGGCGAGAGCAGGCAAGCTTGTTGTTTCGTTCTGGTGTTGTTGTCGTTCTCGTCCGTCGTCGAGACCTGTCGTGAGGTTGCCATGGCGTGGGTGAGACCCCCGCCGGCAAGATGATGCCGAGAGCTCACGATGCGCGGTGCTTGGCGTGCGTGCTGCTCATGCAGGGCTCTCGCGAATGGGAAGAGGCGTTTGGAAGGTTATTACGCGTCCTTTTTTCTTGTGCCTCTGCATCTCATCGTGTTCAGTACGAATTACGAAGGGGCTCAACTGCAATTGAGAGGTGCAACAATCTGGAAGGTTATTCACGGCGTGGCTTGTTCGTTTAGGTAGGTCCGAAGTTTGGGCCTTACTGAGGAATGATGAGATGATTCATGACGACCGGGCTGCCGCGCGCTTGTTTAGTTAGTACGGCGGTCGAGACCGCAATCCGAACTGATAGACGGACGACGGCGTCTGGACATTCTCTTTGCATGGTTTAGTGAGAAGCAGCCCCCGTCGCCCTCCCCTCGCGGCCGCAGATGTGAGACCTGAGCCAGGCA